CACCGAATACTTCATGTTTTTTAAACGAAAAAGGGGGACACGGGATACAAAAAAAACGGAACATAAGAAGACACAAGGGACACAGGAAACACAAAGGACACAGGGAACATAAGGGACACGGAAAAAAAGGAAAACGGGTGACATGAGGGACACAACGAAAAGAAGGGGACACAGGGAACTCAAAGGGACACCGGGAACACAAGTGAGACAGAAGTCACAAGGGAGACAGGGGACTCAAGGGGACACAGAGGTCACAAGGGGACCGTATCGTAATTTTTTAAGATACAGGGCCCCTATGGGGACCAGCCTTAGAGCTGAACAGGCTACCCTGTGTAAATAAAGTTTACTTGACTTGACTTTAAGGGGACGCGGGACACTAGGGGCACAAAGGACACAAGGGGACCAATGGGACACAAGGGATACAAGGGAAAACGAGACACTAGAGACACAAGGGACACAGGGGTTACAAGGGAACACAAAAGACACAGAGGACACAAGGGAGACAGGGGCTTCAAAGAGACACAAGGTACATAGGGGACACAAGGGATACAAAGAAAAACAAGGGACACAGGGGACACAAGAGACAAAGGAAAACAAAGGACACAAGGGACAGAGGGGAGACAGGGGACATAGGAGAACATAAGGGGCACAAAGGACAAGGGGGCACAAAGGTTCAGAGGGGACACAAGAGTACCAAGGGGACAGAGGGCACACAAGGGGACACAAAGGACACCGGGGACACAAGGCAAACAGGGGGCAGAGGAGACTCAAAGGGACACAGGGCACAAGGGACACAGAGGTCACAAAGGACCCAAGGGGACACAAGAGACACGCGGAATAAATGGGTCACAAGGGACCACAAAAACACAAGAGACACAGGGGACACAGGGGACACAGGGGACACAGGAAACTTAAGGAGACACAGGAGAAGCAAGGGACACAGCGGACACAAGGGACAAAGGGCACCCAAGGGACACAATGGGAGACATCGGACACCAGGAACACAAGGAGACAAAAGAGACACAGGGGACACAAGGGACCCACGAGACACAAGGGACACAAGGGACACAAGGGGACACAATAGGACACATGGGACACAATGGGCACAAGGGATAGAGAGGTCACAAGGGATCCACAAGGACACAAGGGACACAAGAGACACGCGGGATGCATAAGACACGGGTGACACAAGGGACAAAGGAAAACACAAGAGACACAAGAAACACAGTGGACACAGGAAACTTTAGGAGACACAGGGGAAGCAAGAGACACAGCGGACACAGGGGTGACAAGGGACACAACGGGACAACAGGAACAAAGGGGACGCTACGGGAAAATGGGACAGAGAGGACACAATGGATACAGGAGATACAGGGCACACAATGGGCTCAAGGGACACAATGGGACACATTAGACACAAGGGGTACAAAGGGACAAAAGGGACACAAGGGGACACAACAGACAAAGCAGACACAAGGGACACCAGAGACACAAAGGGACCCAAGGTACGCAGAGGACACAGGGAACCCAAAAGACACAAGGGACACAGAGGTTAGAATGGATCCGAGGGGACACAAAGGACACAAGAGGCAAACGGGATACATGGGACACTAGGGACACAGGAAAACACAAGAGACACAAGGGACACCGGGCAAACAGGGAACTTAAGGAGAAGCAAGGGATACAGCGGACACGTGTGGACAGAAGGGACAAGGGGGACACAATGGGGCACATAGGACACAAGGGACCCAGGACACAGGAAACACAAGAGACACAGGGGTCGCAAGGGGACACAGGGAACACAAGGGACACATGGGTGATAAGGGGCACAAAGGGACAAAAGGGACACAAGAAGACACAACGGAAACAGGGGATTCCAGGGACCCAAAGGACACAGGGGGCAAAAGGGACACAGGAGACAGAGGGGACAAAATTGAAGACAAGGAACATAGGCCACTCAGTGGACGCAAAGGGACACAGGGAACACAAGGGGCAAAGGAACTTCCAAGGGACACAAGGGATACAGACGAAAACAAGGGACACAAAAGAAAACAAAGGACACAGGGGACAGAAGAGGAAACAAGGGACAAAAGGGGCACAGAGGACACAGGGGGACAAAGGGATACGGGGAACATATGGAAAACAAGGGGACAGAGGGGACACAAGGGAAAAAAGAGGCACAAGGGACATAGGGAACACAGATAACACAGGGGACACAAGGGACACAGGTGACAAAGGGGTAACAGGGGACACAAAAGACACAGGTGACACAAAGCACACAAGAGGAAACATGGGACACAAGGGACACAGGAGTGACAAGGGACACAAGTCGACATAAGGGACACAGGGGACACAAAGGGAGACAGGGACATAATTGAAGACCAGGGAGACAGAGGACGCAGGGGACACACGGGGACACGTGAGACAAAGGGGACACAACGGACACAGGGGACACAATAGACAAAAGGGACACAGGGAACCCAAGGAGATACAGGAGTCACAAGTTACACAGGGGACACAAGGGACACAGCAGACACAAAGGACATAGGAGACACAGGGGCACAAGGGACACAGAGGTCACAGGGACACAAAGGAGACAAGAGACACAGGGGACACAGGGTAACACAATGGAGGCAGGGGACTTAGGGAACACAAGGGAGACAGGGGAGACAGGAGACACAATCAACTCAAGGGGACACATGGGACACAAGGGGACACCGGGTATGCAAGGGTCACAAGGGACACAGGGGAGTTATGGGACACGGGAGACTTATGAGACACAGAAGACACAAGGGACGCAGCCAACACAGGCGACACAGGGGACACAACGGACACAAGGGACACAGGGAACACAGGGGACACACGGGTGGCAATAAACATAAGTTGACCCAAGGCACACACGGGACACAGAAGACACAAGGGTCACAGGGGACACAAGTAACAAAGGTGACCCAGGGGACACAGGGAACTCAAAGGGACACAGGGGACACAAGGGACACAACGGACACGGGGGACACAAAGGTACAAAAGGGACACAAGGGCACACAGGGAACGCAAAGGGATGTAGGGGACACAAACGTACACCGGGGACACAAGAATACAAGCGGAACACAAGGGGACATAGGGAACTCAAGGGATACATGGGACACAAAGGGACACAGAGGACACAAAGGGACAAAGGTGGACACAAGGGGACACAGGGAAGACAAGAGACACAGGGCAGAGAAAGGGACACAGAGGACACAGGGGACACAAAGGGACACAGGGGACACAAGGGGACACAAGGGGACACAAGGGACACGGGGGGCACAGTGAACTACTCCTCCTCTACGCAGTAAGCTTACTTTTTGCTTCTTTTCTGACGCAGTATCTTTTTTCTGCTTGTGCAGTCGAACCTGGCTTGCTTTTGATTGGACGTTTTGGGTACGGGATATTGGAAAGTTAAAAAGACAAGACAATTTTTTACTCCTTAAAAAAATACGAAAGGAATGAGCTACCGAATTTATGACGCTTGCTGACTACGTCATCTCGGGTAACAAAATAAGAGAAGAGGAGCAAAATGGTACTTTATGCAACAGTCATTTACAGAAATACAATGAGAGCAAAGTGAAAGAATGTTTTAGTATACGCAAACATGTCCAGCGGTATACGGCCTTGAGCAGTGGAAACGCAGGCATGAAACTTTTAACCTTGTTTTCAGCTTCTTTCGTTCTTATTTGGGGGCTAATAAGCGGGAGTTTATGGTATGCCGTTGTGCGAGGGGAATTCACCAGGTTCGCGGCAAAGCAAAATTACAAAGAAGTTCTTCTTAACTTGAATTCCAAGTTTGCCGTTTGCCGTATTAAAATTAATTCTGAATCTCTATGTTAGCGCAGTTCTAGATATTTGTATTGAACCTTTCTCCACTTAGGCTTAATTTTTCTTTATTTATGGGAGGAGACGGGTACCGTAAACTTCCGATTGTGAGGCCTGGGCCAGGAGCCCTTCAAATGCCAGGGCTTATACAACCTTGTAAGGGCTTAAACACTTTAAGCCCTAAGAGTGATCAGCATGAAATTTTTCCTTATAGTATCAATTCTTTAGAAAACAGAGTGGTCATGAGAATTGAGTACATGATCAGGGAAGATGAGTCTACCTGATATTTCAACAAATTCTCCCCACTACTTGTATTGACAAAGTATAGGGACAGTAAACGAGAATCTCAATTTTGATCTTAGGGTTTAAAGGGTTCAGGAGGGCTTATAAACGGGGGGCTAATACACAACAGGTAGGTGGAGAGTAGCAATAAGAACCGAAACATAGCCATCATGGATCTCAATTCGCATTGTATTTGACAGTCGCAGCTTCTCTCCGTTTCTCCTCTCATTAGAATGTGGGGTGTTCACTAGCAGTCGCGGATGTGGAAAACACGTGTTTCCAGGCGTTCAAACTGAAAACACATTAACGCCCTCGATGCGGCTTCTTTTAACCAGCTAGCGACTGAAGCCTGCTTGGCAAGCGCAGGTCAGTTTTTTGGTTAGTTTTACTCTTCTTCTCCCCTAGAGGGCGCGCGCGTGTCCTCGAAATTTCTCCCTTCGCCCTTACAAAACTGGTGCTTTCTGTGCAGCCTATACCGACTGTGACGTACGAGGCTTTTCTGTCTGTCCTATATTGAATTATTCACCGAGTACTGCGCATCTTATACGATAAATCACACTTCCCATGCATTACTGGTTTCACGGATCACGTTCCTATTTTGGGAACTTTCAAGCTTCACGTGACTCACGCACTAAATTTGGGCCTAAACACGCGTCACCCATAAACCCTTTGCTACCCTCTAGGAGCGTACAAGTGACGGCAAGTGTATACAGGTGAAGGTAAGTGCGTATAAGTGAAGGTAAGTGCGTACAAATGAAGTAAGTGCATACAAGTGAATGTAGGTGTATGCAAGTGAAGGTAAGTGCATGCAAGTGAATGTAAGTGTATGCATGTGAAGGTAAGTGCATACAAGTGAATGTAAGTGTATGCAAGTGAAGGTAAGTGCGTACAAATGAAGTAAGTGGATACAAGTGAATGTAAGTGTATGCAAGTGATGTAGGTGCATGCAAGTGAATGTAAGTGTATGCAAGTGAAGGTAAGTGCATACAAGTGAATGTAGGTGCATGCAGGTGAATGTAAGTGCATGCAAGTGAAGGTGAGTGCATACAGGTGAAAGAAGTGCAGGTAAGTGCATATAAGTGAATCTCAGTGCTTGCAAGTGACGATAAGTGCACAGGTGAGTATATGAAATCAGAAACTTCTGACAGAAGCATACAAATGCTTCTGGTTTCTGATAATATCATATTAAGCAATTATTGGATGAGGTTTTTTTGATATCCAGATCAATCAAGGACCTGGTAGGGATTATCAGCCGAAGCCGAAGGCTACTGATAATGAACTGAACTGATAATTTATTTTTAAACGTGTAAAAATACCTCAGTTTTTTCTCTTTCACGTAGTCAGCAAACAGCTCCTTTGCCACCTTCATCGTCCTTTTTGTATGGCGTCAGATCGGGGACAAAATCGATACTCGGATTTCGTGACCTTGTTACCTTGTTGTTCTGACTGTTACTTTGTTAACTTGTTACTCTGTTACCTTGTTCCCTGGTTACTCTGTTACCCTGTTGCTCTGTTACCATGTTACTCTGTTATCTTGTTACTCTTTTATTTTGTTTCCTTGTTACTCTGTTACCTTGTTACCCTGGTACTTTGTTGCTCTGTTACCTTGTTACTCTGTTACCTGGTTACCTTGTTGCTCTGTGCCTTTGTTACTCTGTTGTCGTTTTTTTTAAATCTTAGTTTATTCATTGCATGACAAATCACAATTTTTTCCCCGTATAGACGCGTTTTTTGGGAGTAAGGTCTTGGTTGAATGGTTTGCATTACAAATATCGGACTTCGCTCGGAGTAATTACTAGCAATTAGCTTTCGTCGGTAAATTTTTTCTCTTATGGATTCTTGTTGACGGAAATCAAACAAAAGTTTCCTTTTTTAAGAACAGCACTTGGACCATGACGAAGGCTTTCTGTCTCAATCCTATGGCAGCTTAAGCCTGTTACAGTTTCTTTTGGCTTTCATAATTTTATCATGATTATCCAAAAAATCGTAAATGACATTCAGAGGTTTACGAAGACGGAATATTTTCCGTTATCTCTCTCCGTCACAATTTCCAAATCTAAACGAAATTTCTAGGCTATATTTTTACGATCAGATTTTGCATAAAACACTGAGTCTCAAGGCGTCCTTGTAAAATGACTTAACAACGCGGCAGGTTCCTACAACAGGTGTAACATTTAGGTGCTTTCAGTCAATACCACACAAGGCTGAAGTTGAATTTCATTCGTTTTTTAATCACACCTTATATCTGTTATCGAGACAATCGTTGAAAATCGCACAACACGAGGAAATTGAGTATAACTAGTATACTCAGTTCGGTTATGAGTTGAATACCAGATCACTACAAGCCCGTTTCCTCCATCTACCACTTTAGTGTTCAAAATTTTTTTGTCACTTCCAGACGTCGGTTGTGCAAGGCCTGACGAAGGCCTGACGTCAGACTTAACTGCCAACTCTCGGCTTTACCTGATCTCGACGACAAATCAAGTAGACAAGATGACATGACTAATCGGCAAAACGACACATCAAAAAGACAAAACGACATAGAAAATAAGCATCGAGTTATTTTTGACCCCGACGACCGCTCCACAGGAGCGAGGTTACCCTCCCTCCTTGTAATCAGAACCAAGAGTAAAAACGGTGCTTTCACATTAGTATAGCCGCAGTTTCTTAAATATCACATTTTCAACACCTTTTCGGCTGGGAATGAATTATAGTTCAATGAATTATCTTTATCGATGTGTTATAGGTTGGTTTTGGCCAACTCGTATTTTCTCTACGAGACATCAACTTGACACTTGGACTCTTGCCCCCCAGAAGACACGTGGTATGGCGTGATTCTGTGGGTGTTGAGAGTTCTAGGTCAGAGCTTAAATCAGAGTGCCCGGATAATTTTCGCCAGAGCTTTTTCTGGTTGTTACGCCATACTGACGAGCCCCAAAGAGGGCGAAACAGCTGTCTATGGATACAATCCCGCTCTGTTTTGAGTTCTTTCGGTGTCGTGTTGATGTCGTGCAGAGTTAATTTTCACGTAGTACGATCAGCATTGCAGTATTCTGCTTGCAGAATTTAATACTTCTAACGAGGGTAACAAGGAGTAACAAGGGGTAACAAGAGGAACAAGGCGTAGCAAGGGGGGGAACAAGGGGTAACAAGAGGAAAGAGGGGGAACAAGGGGGAACAACGGGTAACAAGGTGTTACAAAGGTAAAAAGGGAAACAAGGGGTAACAAGGGAAAAAACGGGCAACAAGGGTAAAAAGGGGTAACAAGGGTAACAAGGGGCAACAAGGGTAACAAGGAGGAACAAAGGGTAACAAGGGTAATCAGGGGTAACAATGGGGAAGAAGGGTAACAAGGAGTAACAAGGGATACCAAGGGTAACAAGGGGTAACAAAAGGTAAAAAGGGATTACAAGGGTAACAAGGGGTAACAAGAGTCAACAAGGATAACAAGGGGGAAAGAGAGGTAACAAGGGTAAGAAGGGGTAACAAAGGGGTAACAAGAGTAACAAGGGGTACCAAGGGTAACAAGGGGTAACAAGGGGTAAAAACGGTAACAAGGGTAACAAGGGGTCCCAAGGAGTAACAAGGGTAACAGGAAGTAACAAGAGCAACAAAGGGAAACAAGGGGTAACAAGGGTAATAAGAGGAACTAGGGGTAACAAGGGGTAACAAGAGGAGAGAGGGGGAACAAGGGGTAAAAAGGGGTTACAAAGGTAAAAAGGGGAACAAGAGTAAAAAGGGGTAACAACGCTAACAACGGGTAACAACGGTAAAAAGGGGTAAAAAGGGTAACAAGAGGAACAAGGGGTAACAAGGGTAACAAGGAGGAACAAAGGGTAACAAGGATAACAAGGGGTAACAAGGGTAATCAGGGGTAACAATGGGGAAGAAGGGTAACAAGGGGTAACAAGGGAAAACAAGGGTAACAAGGGGTAACAAAAGGTACAAGGGGTAACAAGGGGTAACAAGGGTAACAAGGGGGAAAGAGAGGTAACAAAGGTAGCAAGGGGTAACAAAGGGGTAACAAGGGTAACAAGGGGTAACAAGGGTAATAGGGGAAGACGAAAGTAACAAGGGGGAACAAGGAGTAACAAGGGGAACAAGGGGTAGAAAGGGGAAACAAGGGGTAACAATAGTCCAGCCATATGGTGTAAAAAAATAGCTGAATTGTGCACTTTGGGGTAAAAGCATCAAACTCGGCACAGTGATAGTACTAGTTGCACTAATTATTTTTAGCTATGGACCCCACTCAAATATGCACGGGGGGAGGCACATTGTGCCCTTGGGGGGAGGGGTCATGGCCTTTTTGTTTGGGTCCGGAAAAGACTCAAAAACGGGAAGAAAGCGGCCTTAAAAACTTTTGAATTCCTATTTTCTTCAAAGTAGTGCAAGGTAACCCTATAAAATACCTGTTACTTACTTTTCTGAGAGATTTTCTATAATTATTTTAAAAGAGTGTGTAAGTGATTCTTGTCACAAGGGAAAGCCACGTAGAAGCAAGTTGAGTTCTGAAGGGCGGAATTAATTTGAGTTAAAGCATTACAATATTATACATGCAGCCCCTGACACATCAAAACACTTCATTAATATTTTTGAGACACCTCCTGATGGAACAAACAAGACTGCACACGGAAGAAACAAAAGGTCAGGCTACTCAAGGAAATTCTGCATGGCGGACAGGAATGGCTGGTCTTTTTGCTCTCTCGTTTGTGAGAGACAGTATGCCGTTTTTCACCTTTGGAAAGATAAGATGTTTCATTTTTACACTTTGATTGAAGTGAATTGCACTTTTTGGGAATTTAATTGCTCAGCCAAACTACCGCAAAAATAAAACATGAGACACTTACAGAAACCTTCAACGACATGCAAACGGGAGTTATTAACCACTTTTATTGCGGGCGACAAGAGTAGCCCGCAGTTTTCATCTTCAGGTTATTATTATGCATGAATCGCAGGTATGAAGCCGGCATTCGTTTGGACTTCCACTTATAAGGACGAGTGGAATTCACAGAAAGCAATTTGATCACTCGCATCTGGATCATCTCTGGTCACTTAGAATCTGATCACGCGTGTTTGGAACATCTATCAAGTGAAACTTGTGCGAAGCACAGCGTTGGAGTAACAGCGTTTTCATCTTCCGTCGTTGTCGCCCTCGCTCCGTAACCTTTGGTTTTCTCTTGTTTTCAATAATATATTGATCTCTCTCACACTCTATTGTCATCTTTACAATTATCAAAAATAAAAGTGCCGAGTTGAGGAGAAAAGGCTATCTAACATCAGACGTCTGATAACAGTTATATAACATAACATATAAAATCAGACGTCTGATAACAGTTATATGACAGCAGATGTCTGCTATAACTGTTATAGGACAGCAGATGTCTGCTATAACTGTTATATGACAGCAGATGCAGGGGCACCCAATGGATCTGTTCCTCAAAATATCTGTTCTTCAGGCACATTTTTGCTGGCTGGGAGATGTGGAAGAAATAATAGTCCTTGGAAAGAAAGTGTTGCTGGGAAAAAGATAATTCAGGGTGTCAGAGGGGATTTGAAGTCTAGAATAGCTGCTACGGGTTACTTGTATGGGTTACTTACCACTCAAGATCTGAATTGTGCCCTATGAAACTTCCCAGTAAGTCAGGTTGCAGGTTGTAAGATTGCTGGCTGGGAACTCTTCCTTCAGTCTTGCTGGGAGTGAGGAACAGATAATTTTTTTCCAGTAATCTCCCAAAATGCTTAAAATAGTCTCAAAAAACTTTAGTCACGCTTTGTTGTTGTCTTTAAGTCTTTTTCTTAAAATTTCCCGTTGGGTGCCCCTGCAGATGTACTGTTGTCACATATCTTATATAACTGTTATATAACAGTTATATAACAGTTTTATAAGTTATATAACTGTTATATAACAGTTATATGACAGCAGATGTCTGTTGTCATATATGTTATATAACTCTTATATAACAGTTAACAGTTATAACTGGTATATATGTTAATATAACAGTTAAATAACATATATAACTGTTATATATTTTATATAACTGACTGTTATATAACATACATAACGGTTATATAACGGTTATAGAACTGTTATATAACAGTTATATAGCAGCGGATGTCTCTTGTCATATATGTTACGTAACTGTGATATAACCGTTATAGAACAGTTATATAACCGTTATATGTGTTATATAACAGTTATAACATATATAACTGTTATATAACAGTCATATGACAGCAGATGTCTGTTGTCATATAACATATATGACATATATAACATATATATAACTGTTATATAGCTGCTCTATAACAGTTATATGACAGCAGATGTCTATTGTCATATATGTTATATCACAGTTAACAGCTATAACTGTCATATATGTTAATATAACAGTTATATAACATATATAACTGTTATATAACAGTTATATGGCAGTGGATGTCTGTTGTCATATATGTTATATAACTGTTGTATAACCGTTATAGAACAGTTATATAACCGTTAAATATGTTATATAACAGTTATAACATTATAACTGTTATATAACAGTCATATGACAGCAGATGTCTGTTGTCATATAACATATATGACATATATAACTGCTATATGACGGTTATATATCAGCTACATGAAATGACACGAAAGGAACTCTGAAGAAGACCGAGGAGCTGAAATTTGCTGTTAAGGTAAATTCTCGCTTGCTCTGGAAGAGTTTTTCTTATCTCCTTGTCGCATAGAGCGGTAGTTTCGTACCAATAGATTGTATTTGTCAATGAGGCGATGGTTTCGAGTGCTCGTTAACACCTTTTAAAATCACCTTGCCGACTTGCTGATAAGAAAAGAAGATGCCATCGTTTACTGAACTGGGAAGTGTGATCCATGATGACTGTGATTTTCGGTTTTTTACCCCTTTGAGTAACGGGTACCCTGGGTGTGAGAGGCTTTTCATGCGCGGTTTCCGGTTTCGGTTGATGACTAAATTCGTGGATCGTGAAAAATGGTTTATAACGCATGTGATACGTGAAATTTGTCAAAATTTACACGTGAAACGGGAACGGGACACCACCCCACCCCCCCTGCTACCCACTTATGAATGATGTAACGATGATCAGGTGATTAAATTGCCCAAAAAAGTGCCTCAAGTCATCTAGTTTATTTCCGAAGGATGCTTAACTGATAATATAAGAAACATGCGCTTAACGGTTATATCACAGTTATATAACAGATATAACTGACTGTTATATAACATATATAAATGTTATATGGCAGCGGATATCTGTTGTCATATATGTTATATAACTGTGATATAACCGTTATAGAACAGTTATATAGCCGTTATATATGTTATATAACAGTTATAACATATATAACTGTTATATAACAGTCATATGACAGCAGATGTCTGTTGTCATATAACATATATATAACTGTTATTTAAGGGTTATATAACAGTTATAAACATATATAACGGTTATATAACATACATATAAGTGTTATATAACAGTTATATGACAGCAGATGTCTGTTGCCATATATGTTATATAACTGTTATATAACATATATGACAGCAGACATCATGTCATATATGTTATATAACAGTTAACATATATAACTGTTATATAACACTCATATGATAGCCGATGTCTGTTGTCATATAACATATATGACATATATAACATATAACTGTTATATAACAGTTATATAACATATGACAGCAGACATCTGCTTTCATATAACTGTTATCAGACGTGTGATATCATATAACTGTTTCAGACGGCTGATGTCATATTCTTGGGTTGCACGTGACGTCACCAAAAATCAAACTAAGAAACTATCGATTCTTCTGAGTTTCTACTTTCACGACGTATTACAGTACCTAAACCCCTTTACATAAACAAATTTTTGGTTCGAAAGGGTTCTTCGTTTTGCGAGAGAGGACGCTTGAATTTCCAGGCTTTTGCGTGACGCAGCATTTAGCTGGCGGCCGGGAAAGCTCTTATGTGGGTTAAAAACATTACCGATTTTGGGAGATTTTGCAATCTAAACATCTCTTGTCTCAGAATAAACATTACTGTAATCTTTAAGAGTTCCTCAAGCGAAGAATTCACGCATTAGTAGGAGAACTCGAAAACAGATGTTTCTGATGGTATCCGGCGGCCATATTGGTGTTCCTGAAAGGGACACCAACATGGCGTTTCCATACAAAGCTTTACAAATTTAGGTAAACCGTTTTTCGCAATATCTCGCATTTGAAATATTTCACAGACCTGATTCCTGGCAAGGGTTTTTGTATATTTATCTTTTTTCATTTCCCAGATTCTAGTTTTTTTGTATTGAATGGTTTGCATTTTTATTTTTCATTGCGTGACAATGCAAGCCGAGAATAACTGTTATCAGACGTCTGACATCATATAACTGTTATCAGACGTCTGATGACAGTTATATTACATAACATATAACATCAGACGTCTGATAACAGTTATATAACATAACATACAAAATCAGACGTCTGATAACAGTTATATGACAGCAGATGTCTGCTGAGACTGGAGCAGTGCTATATTTGCTGTGATGTTTCACAGCAAGTTCACAGCACAAATCTTTGACACATTTGATAACAGCAATGCGTGGATTTAACGCCATATAGAGATATTCTCGAAGTCTTTCTTGCCTTAAGTGAATACCATGCAATTGTTTAGAAGAACGCCACAGAAAGAAACACTGATAGGGAACAAGCCTCACATCTCTCAGTTTTTAAAAAGTATAATTGAGATCCTCCTGGACCGATGGAGCTAGTATTGAGACACAGTCAAGGAAAATCATACAGAATCGAGCTGCTCTTTATAGCTTTTTAAACTTTGTGATTCGACGTCGCGAATATTCATCGTGAGAATCCACTTCAAATTTATGTAAGTCTCCTGGTGCCGATAAAATCCATCATAACCCCAGTTCTTCCTCCTGCAACTGGTTCTTTACATGGCACGGCAATCATAAGGGCTCTGGAGTGATGAAAAGTGTTATAGGATGTTGTACTTTTATTACGCAATCACAAAATGCAATCAGACATCCCCTTTCTTAGGACGAGAAAACTGCCTGGGCCACAAGGCTGCCTTATGGAGAAGCCACTGAACGTTTTACATCCCTTAGGAAACAAATTGAAGGGTGTTCAAGACACCACTGGCCCCGTTGCTTGAGAGATTTGTTATCCTAGTGTCTGACCCCACAAACCGGAGTCAAAGAGTCAATGATGCCAAAAGTGTTCCGGCTATTTGCACAAAAGGGAAGAAACCTCGAGAACTTCTCCACTATATCAGCACACCAAGGGAGTTGCCTAGCAAAGATGATACCCTGGGTGCGAAACGTGACCAAAGCGGGAAACGCGATGCAATGCACCACAAAGGATTCTGCGGGTACACTTCCCTTAAACATGTCCCATAAGAATTACGGGAGAGAGAGTTGAGTTGGAATACAATGACACGAAAGGAACTCAGAAGAAGACCGAGGTGCTTCTACTGATCTTGACAGAAATGTGAGTTGAAATTTGCTGTTAAGGTAAATTCGCGCTCGCTCTGGAAGAGTTTTACTTATCTCCTTGTCGCATAGAGCGGTAGTTTCGTACCAATAGATTGTATTTGTCAATGAGACGATGGTTTCGAGTGCTCGTTAACACCTTTTAAGATCACCTTGCCGACTTGCTGATAAGAAAAGAAGATGCCATCGTTTACTGAACTGGGAGGTGTGATCCATGATGACTGTGATTTTCGGTTCTTTACCCCTTTGAGTAACGGGTACCCTGGGTGCGAGGGGCTTTTCATGCGCGGTTTCCGGTTTCGGTTGATGACTAAATTCGTGGATCGTGAAAAATGGTTTATAACGCATGTGATACGTGAAATTTGTCAAAATTTACACGTGAAACGGGACCGGGACACCACCCCACCCCCCCTGCTACCCTCTTATGAATGATGTAACGATGATCAGGTGATTAAATTGCCTAAAAAAGTGCCTCAAGTCATCTAGTTTATTTCCGAAGGTTGATTAACTGATAATATAAGAAACATGCGCTTACTACACCGGGAAAAACCCAACCATCACCCCCATAGACACCACCACCACCATCTCCACTACCATGGAGATGAAGAATAAGTTAAGAGGAGAAACTAATTGCTAAATGATTTAAAATTATCCCAGAATTCAGGAAAGGTCATTGTATTCTTCCTCACAACATAAACTTATACAAACATGCAAACAGAGATACTCCTACCCCTCCCCCTAAGCTGTGTTGAAACCTTCCCCCACGCCACCTAGAAAGTTGGATTAAATAGACCTTGTTAAACTTCCCTAGGACACCATTCCCTATTGATATAGCAGCTTTCTTTTCAATAACGGCAGTGAAATGGAAACTGCAACCACCCCACCCCCTGAGTACAAAATGTCCCCCCTGACTGGGTTCCATAGCTAATATTGTTCAGCAGCCCAAGTACTATTACCATGCCAAATTTGGTGCTTTTACCCCAGAGTGCACAATTTTTTCACCATATGGCTTGACTACAAGGGTAACAAGGGGTAAGAAGGGTAACAAGGGCTAACAAGGGGTAAGAAGGGTAACAAGGGGTAACAAGGGTAACAAGAAGTAACAAGGGTAACAAGGGGTCCCAAGAAGTAACAAGGGTAACAAGAAGTAACAAGAGTAACAAAGGGAAACAAGGGATAACAAGGGTAGCAAGAGGTAGAAAGGGGTAACAAAGAGTAACAAGGGTAACAAAGGGGAAAAAGGGGTAACAAGGGTAACAAAGTGTAACAAGGGGTGAAAAGGGTAATAAGGGGTAACAAGGGTAACGAGGGGAACGAGGAGTAACAAGGGTAACAAGGGCCAACAAGGGATAACAAAGGGTAACAAGGGTAACCAGGGGAACGAGGAGTAACAAGGGTAACAAGGGTTAACAAGGGGGAACAAGGAGTAACAAGAGTAACAAGGGGTAACAAGGGGTAAAAAGAGTAACAAGAGAGAACAAGGGGTAACAAGGGTAAGAAAGGGTAACAAGGGGTAAGAAGAGGGAACAAGGGATAAAAAGGAGCAACAAAGATAACAAAGGGTAACAATGTGTAACAACGGTAAAAAAAGGGTAACAAGGGGTAACAAGAGGAAACAAGGGGTAAAAAGGCGTAACAAGGGTAACAAGGGCCAACAAGGGATAACAAAGGGTAACAAGGGTAACCAGGGGAACGAGGAGTAACAAGGGTAACAAGGGTTAACAAGGGGGAACAAGGAGTAACAAGAGTAACAAGGGGTAACAAGGGGTAAAAAGAGTAACAAGATAGAACAAGGGGTAACAAGGGTAAGAAAGGGTAACAAAGGGTAAGAAGAGGGAACAAGGGATAAAAAGGGGCAACAAAGATAACAAAGGGTAACAATGTGTAACAAGGGTAAAAAAAGGGTAACAAGGGGTAACAAGAGGAAACAAGGGGTAAAAAGGCGTAACAAGGGTAACAAGGGCCAACAAGGGATAACAAAGGGTAACAAGGGTAACCAGGGGAACGAGGAGTAACAAGGGTAACAAGGGTTAACAAGGGGGAACAAGGAGTAACAAGAGTAACAAGGGGTAACAAGGGGTAAAAAGAGTAACAAGAGGGAACAAGGGGTAACAAGGGTAAGAAAGGGTAACAAGGGGTAAGAAGAGGGAACAAGGGATAAAAAGGAGCAAAAAAGATAACAAAGGGTAACAAGGGTAAAAAAAGGGTAACAAGAGGAAACAAGGGGTAAAAAGGCGTAACAAGGGCAACAAGGGGGAACTAGGGTAACAAGGGGTAACAAGGGTAACAAGGGTTAAAGAGGCTAACAAGGGTAACAACGGGTAACAAGGGCCAACAAGGGATAACAAAGGGTAACAAGGGGAACAACAAATAACAAGGGGTACCGAGGAGTAACAAGAGTAATAAGGGGGAACAAGGGGTAACAAGGGTAAGAAAGGGAAACAAGGGGTAATAACGGTAACAAGGGGTAACAAGGGGTAACAAAAGGAAACAAGGGGTAACAAAGGGTAACAAGAGGGATCAAGGGGTAAGAAGGGTAAGAAAGGGAAACAAGGGGTAACAATGGTAACAAGGGGCACAAGGGGGAACAAGGGGTAACAAAGGTAACAAAAGGTAACAAGGGGTAACGAGGGTAACAAGGAAAACAAGGGGTAACAAGCCGGTAACAAGGGGTAACAAAGGTAACAAAGTGTAACAAGGGGTAAAAAGGGTAATAAGAAGTAACAAGGGTAACAAGGGGGAAGAAGAAGTTACAAGGGTAACAGGGAGCTTAAGCAACGGCGTTTTTGAGCGACGCACGTTAACCGGAATTGAGGTCTTTTTCATTTTAAAGCACCTTGTCGCTACCAAATTTGTATTTCTAAGTGTCTTAACTATTATAGAGACAAGTTGTCCTAAAAAATGGGCAAAACCACTGTCCAAAAATGAAGAAAAAACCACTTCCGGTTGACCTGCGTCGCTCAAAAACGTCTTTGCTTAAGTTCACTATTAAGGGGTAACAAGTGTAACAACGGGTAACAAGGGTAACAAGAGTAACAAGAGGGAACAAGGGGTAACGAGGAGGAACAAGGGGTAACAAAGGTAAGATATGGTAACAAAGGTAACAAAGGGTAACAAGAGGTAACAATAGGAACAAGGGGTAACAAGGGTAAGAAAAGGAAAGAAGATGTAACAAAGGTAACGAGGGGGAACAAGGGGTAACAAAGGTAACAAGGGGTAACAAGGAAAACAAGGGGGAACAAGGGGTAACAAAGGTAAGAAAGTGTAACGAGGGGTAAAGAGGGTAATAAGAAGTAACAAGGGTAACCATGCAGGGGGAACAAGGAGTAACAAGGGTAACAAGTGGTTACAAGGGGGAACAAGGGTAACAACGGGTAACAAGAGTAACAAGGGGGAACATGGGGTAACAAGGGGTAACGGGGGGTAACAGGAGGTAACAAGGGTAAGAAAGGGTAACAACGGGTAACAAGGGTAAGAAAGGGTAACAATTAAGGGGTAACGTGGGGTAACAAGGGGGAACAAGGGGTAACAAAGGGTAAAAAGGGGTAACAAGAGTTACCAGGGGGAACAAGGGATAACCAGAGCTAAAAAGAGTAAGAGGGTTAAAAAGGTTAAAGAGGGCACAAGGGGTAACCAGGGTAAGAAAAGGAAAAAAGAGGTAATAAGGGTAACAAGGGGGAACAAGGGGAAGCAAGGAGTAACAAAGTTAACAAAAGGTAACAAGGGGTAACAAAGGTAACCAAAGCGTAACAAGGGGTAAAGAGGGTAATAAGAAGTAACTAGGGTAACCAGGGGGAACAAGGAGTAACAAGGGTAACAAGGGGTAACAAGGGG